AACCCTAACCATTCTGTGATTCTATGATTTTAGTTCATCAGCTTCAATGACACCTATTTCTTTGGGAATGACTTGGGATTTGGTTGATTACAGACATCTCAACAAACAGGCTGTTTGTTCTGCAGTGATTTTATTGTATCAGTTTCCTTTTTCTCTTCTCTCTGTTGCAGCATCTCTCAGAACATGCCTTTCCATCTAATTGCCTGCTTTCAGCCTTGTCTGCACTGACTTTGGAGAAGTGATGAAAACTGAACTCATTTAAAAAAACCCTAAAAATGAGATCCAAATATTAGGGTAATGTTCTCTGTGCAGAAAAGGACAAAGCCAAAACACTTCTACAGCACTGAAAGATTGGTGAATTCTGCTTCATCAGTGGTTTTATCTGTCATGTCTGAAAAGGCAATTCTAGCACATTCAAGAGTACTGAAATGTGATGGGCAGCAGTGTGTACGTTACGCTGCTCAGCAAAGGAGCTCTGTGACAGACAGACACACAGCACCGCAGGGATGGACAGGGCTGTCCGTCATCCTGAAATATCCACGTATAGGACATAGGATGTGGGACGTTTATGGAACAATTTCTCTGTCAGGATCTCTGAGGGTGAACAGCACACGCTCTTGAGGGTGGTTTTATGGCACACAAGAATTGTGGATTTAATGCAAACTCCTTGAACGCTTTTGCTTTGCTTATTTTGCTGTGGGTTTGCAGTGGGTGTTTCCCTAGGCTTGTTTCACCCTGTGGAAATTTGAGGAGGAAGGGAAGGAATAGGGAATAAAGGCAGGATGGAGAAGGCTTCAGCCCTATTCTAAAGCCTGGAGGAGAGTCATTGTCAGTCAGATTGTTTAAAAATACAATGAATTGTAAAAAGAATTGATACAAGGGCCTGTAGGGACAGGCCAAGGGGAATGGCTTGAACCTGCCCGAGGGGAGACTGAGATGAGCTCTTAGGCAGAAGCTCTTCCCTGTGAGGGTGCTGAGGCTCTGGCACAGGGTGCCCAGAGAAGCTGTGGCTGCCCCATCCCTGGCAGTGCTCAAGGCCAGGTTGGACACAGGGGCTTGGAGCAAGCTGCTCCAGTGGAAGGTGTCCCTGCTCGTGGCAGGGGTTGGAACTGGGTGAGCTTTGAGGTCCCTTCCAACACAAACCAGGCTGGGATTCTGTGCTGGGTTTCCCAGCTGTAGAACGAAAGCAATGTATTTGGAAAACACAAGGTTTATCCTAATTGCTGTCATAAGGAGTTTTGCTGCTGTTGTTTGACAAGTGGCCACTGTCTTGATTTGTCACGAAAATGAAATATTCTGTGAAGTTCTCAACCCTACTCTGATACCAATTTTATATTTTGTAAATTAAAATGGATTTCAGTATTTCCTGGGCTACAGAGAGAGGACTTACCGTGCTGGTGGTTGGAAGAACACAAGTTTTGGTCTCATTATCAGCTACCAACACACCCAGTCTTGTCCTTGTCTTCTCCCAGTCCTCCTAAGAGAAAGGGATGGGGACCTTACTGGGGTGTTGGCCTGTTCTGGTAGGAGTGACTGGCTGATGAGCTTACATGAGGGTGTGTTGAAGAGAAGGCAGGAATCACACCTGTTTTCCTACTCTTTCTCTTTCAGAAGGCATCAGTTGAGGTCTCACAGAAAGCTCTTGTCACACTCATTTTTCTTCTGTGTGCATTCATAGTCTCTGTAACCTGCTGGGAAAACCAGGTCAATCAGTGGACAACTGCACAGCTAATAAACTGCCTCCTGCTCTCCATAGGTCAGGAGACATGGGCATGAGGCCTCAGACGAGTAAGGGCACCTTCTGCTCTGTCTTTAGTGACAGCAGTGACTTTTTCCAATTAGGCTTCTGCACCAGTTAGTTAACCCAGGGGCAGCAATTGTCTCTTTAACTTCACTGCTCAACTTGAGCTTCATGTTCAAACCCCAGGGTTTCACCGTCGCTGCCTTTCCTCTCTTGATGGAGGGGTATAAAGCAAACACAATTGTTACTATTAATCTAAATCCCCCTTTGGTTTTCTGACTTCACAATGAGCAAGAAGACCGCAGTGAACAAAAGGAGATCTGTTACAATAAGGAAAAAAGGGAAACCAACCATAAAATTCAACTTCTCTGTAAAATTGTGATGGCAGAAAATGCAGTCTCTGAAAACTGCACGTCGGTGTTGGGTCAGAAATCTGCTTCCCTGGGCTAAGGACAGAGAGTACAGCTGGGAGATCCCTGGGAGACCTTCATAGAATTGTAGCCTGGTTTGGGTTGGAAGGGACCTTAAAGCCCATCCAGTTCCAACCCCTGCCACAGGCAGGGACCCCTTCCACTAGAGCAGCTTGCTCCAAGCCCCTGTGTCCAACCTGGCCTTGAACACTGCCAGGGATGGGGCAGCCACAGCTTCTCTGGGCGCCCTGTGCCAGCACCTCAGCACCCTCACAGGGAAGAGCTTCTGCCTAAGAGCTCATCTCAGTCTCCCCTCTGTCAGCCTGCTGTCGCTATGATCTGTACAGCATCATGGTCTCATTTCTTTGACTGGGCTGAAAATCTCACAGTTTAGTGCTGTTGAACAGAGTACTTGGGAGAAGTGACATGTTCTGTGATCATGTAGTGGGGTCTGAACTGTGTTTGTGATCTGTATTTTAGCTTCTTGCTTTGGAACTAAAATGGTCTGCAGTCAATAGGCTGGGTACTTTATTGGAAAGATTGTGTTGCAAAACCCAGGAAAGGCCTCAGGACGTATCTTTTACAATAAATTTTGAGTAGAATTAGAAACTGGTTGATACAAGGCAGCCTCCAAGACTTACAGTTTTGGGTGTGAAAGGAAAGGGCAAATGTGAGATGAACAAGCTAAAAACTGCAGGTATTCTTCCATAGTCCAGGTTTTGGACATCTGACTTGGTGAGATGATGCTGAATCAGAGTTGTTCCTTACCCACTGGTAAAGTCAGCACATCTGACATGAATAAACCAAACACCCTCAAATTACCCATTCATAACATGACTGACTTAAAGAAAATAACTGTAATTTAAAGAACAGTGTAGCATTAACCTGGAGGTTAATTGCCATCTTCAGCTACATCCTTGTCTTGGCATGAAATATTTTTCCTGTCTCAACCACATTCTGTGTTGCAGTCTTAAGTGGATTACTTTGTGTAGAGATTGGAAGGATGATCATCTGCATCTCCTTGGTTTTCTTGCCTTTAGATACAGCTTGGAAGGAGGTTTGTTCTTACCTGTATAGGTTCAGAGGCTGAGACTTCACACAGTCATTCTTCTGTTCACGTTATTTATCTATCCAAGTCGTCTATAGAAAGGTTCTTTCATTGAGTTTATAATATAAAGAACGATTATCACCTAATACTAAGTATATATGTGTATACTGATGCATCCAAACTTTCTAATTTCTAAATTATGATTATTTTGACACACTACTAAAGAATCTCATTTAAGGTGTGTTTTCTATATGCCAGGGAATTGACATGACTGATACAGAGTCCTAAGTCAGTTGCTCGCTTCAGCCCACTGGTCCTTTCATATCCATCCTGTTTCAAAAGTGGCTGCATCTATATAAAGATTCCGAATTCTGTTCATTTTCGAGGTAGCTATTTTCCCAGTGCCACTCACTAGGGTTTTCTTGGAAGTAATACAGAATATGCTGGTTATTACAGTGTATTTTCTGCTTATGCATTAGTAGATTGAAGCCAGTGCGGTGGGTGCTTTAGTTTCAAGAATTACTAGAAGGCTTTTTTTCACTTCAATTATCTTTCCAAGAAGCATAAGTAGTGTTCTGGAGGCCTTATGACATTTTTTGTTCCCATGAAAACATTCTGTTCCTTTCATAGGTCAAAATTATCAGAGTATCAGAAATAGGCGAAACACTGAATTGTGCTGGGAATCAGGAAAACTTCCATCAAATGATGTATTTTCTGATTCCCTTGCTTAGATCCATACTGAGCCAAAAAACAAACGAGCCTTGCAAGTTGAGGAAATGTCAGATAAGCAAACTATGACATGGGTAATATTGCTACCATCTGACAGATCTCAGACACTGGTTTTACTCATCCTTCATTCTCTATATCCTCCTGTCTAGCAGCGCATGCATTTATGCTTTATATAAAGAACATTTGAGTTATGCTGTTATAAATAAGTTAAGGAACAGCAGGTGAAAATGATTCCTCCACATGAATATTCAACTGTACCTCAGTCAAACACTGTGGAAGGGATGATAAATAGCTGGTGGGGCCAAGGCGTTGATAGGATCTGAAAGGAAAGTTTTATTGGCAGAAGGTGGAGATGACTCAGAACATACCCAAGGAGCAGCGTGATCTACTCGGATGTGCCATCGCCAAAGCATCCAAGGGTTTGGCAAATGGAGGTGGCAGTACACTGGGATGTTGGAAGTCTGACAGTCAGCCTCCTAATCCTGATTCTTACACTCCTGTGCTTTTGTCTCTGAGCAGAATGGGTTTAGGGTAGGCAGGAGCATGTAGGAGCTACATAGCTAAATTGAAAGCTGAGACTCGAGTTCATCCAATCTCTGGCAGCCATTTCCATGTGTCTGCATCACTTAGGACTGGACTCACCGAGGTAGCTGGTCACTTTCAAGTAGATCACCTACCTTTCTGGGGCTTAGGGGTTTTTTGTTTGGTTTGGGGGCTTTTTTGCCTGTTTTCTGCTGCCCATTGTTTTAGTTAAGAATGAAGCAAGTGTGACTTTCACACCATTTACCTGATGGACTCATGCTGCCACTGTTGGATTCAGTGTAGTTTCATAGGAATCAGGAGCATGACCGCTGATTCAAGGCCCTGTGACAGGGGGTTTTTCAGGGAAAACTCAGGAGCCAGGATGTATTTGTGGCTCTGACGTTCATTTCCCTGTCACTTACACATTGTAAAGACAGGAACATTCAGAGCTGTGAAATACTCGAATACTCTGACAGGAAGCATATTATTGGATAGCTGACTTCTTTTAATGTCAAATTAATGAGTTTTTTCCTCTTTGCTTGCTCCACAGATCCTGTCCATGGACCACAGAATGTGGAAGTGGTTGATATCCGCTCCCGGCAGCTGACGTTGCAGTGGGAACCCTTTGGCTATGTGGTGACCCGCTGCCACAGCTACAATCTCACCGTCCAGTACCAGTATGTGTTTAACCAGCAAAAGTTCGAGGCAGAGGAACTCATCCAAACCTCGTCCCACTACACCTTGCGAGGTCTCCGGCCCTTCATGACCATCAGGCTGCGGTTGGCCCTCTCGAACCCTGAGGGTAAAATGGAGAGTGAGGAGCTGGTTGTGCAGACGGAGGAGGATGGTGAGTTGTGTTGGGTTTGCTTGTTCTGGGAGGAAGACTTAATATTTCCAAGTTGTAAATAACAACATAACTCTTTGCCCCATGAAACTTTTAAATGGATTCTCTGGATAGTGTGTGTTACACAGTATTTGTAAGTGTAAATAATTCCCATTCCACAGCTGTGGAATGAAACAGCAAGGATCCCCAAGGTGCTTGGGAATGACAAATGCCAGTCTGAGCAGTTACCAAACAGCAGTAGCTTTAATTCTATAGAACCATAGAATAGTTTGGGTTGGAAGGGACTTTCAGAGTTCATCTAGTGCAACCACCTGAAATGAACAGGGACATCTTCAGGTTGCCCAGAACCACATTCAGCCTGGCCTTGTGGTTGTGTTTTGAACTACCCAGGACTCACAGAGCAGCATCCTTTCCATGGCAGTGGGGTTGGAACCAGATGATCTTAAGGTCCTTTCCAACCCAAACCATTGTGTGATTCTGTTATATGGGCAAATGTAATTCTGGTTGTTGATTTTTCTTGTGCATGCGCATCACTGTCCCATAAAAAGAAGTATAGCATCTTTTCCACACTGTAGCTTTTCTTAATACTGATCTGGATGTAGTATTTTATATATGTCTCAGAAGCTAAATTCATCCAGTGCTAACTCTTCCATTCTGGATAGAAAAGAACTGTTTTCCGGAAGTACTGATGGAAAGCTTTAAAGTGTTATTATCCCATCTGAGCTATTTTGAGGACTCTCACAGATGACAAGCCTCCATTCTGTCTAATGTGTTAAAGAAGTTCTTCCTCTGCCAGAGCTGGAAGGAATTGCTGTCCTAAGTTTCTCCTGTTGAAAGTGGCTCTTGCAGCCCATTATATCATCCAGGGGGACATAAGAGGATGGCAGATCCTTCAGAAAAATGAACAGGGTTTTCATCAGGCAGGTTTGGGAGTGCATTTATTAGTTACCTTCCACAGTATTCAAGTTTTGCTTGAGTAGGTGGATTTTTTAGCTGGCCTTGTAGCCATAATGAAATATAAATTTTGCATTGTTACTTTACTGAGGAAATCAATCTTTCATATTGATAAAGGTGTGCAGTCCAGTAGCATCTTTATGCCAAGGTGCAATCTGGCTGTTTAGGGGGATAGAACTTTATTGTGTGGGAGGAGAAGGACACATTAATTCCCCGCTGCTGTTGTGCTGCATTTGAATAAGGACATACTGAAATTAGCTTCATATTTTCATGGATTCTGATTTTATTTATCACTTAATGGCTAGATGAGGGTGTTCCTATTTGACCCAGCTGTTAAGAATAGGCCTTTCATATGGTTCAAACCTCGGCAATGATGGTGCCTTGAGTTTTTTGTGGGGTTTTTATTATATCTATTTAGGTATTTTGAGCTCTGAGTTAGTGTCTGGTGGCTTTTTGGTGTCTTCTGATGTGCGTGCAGCTGGAGGTGTGGGAGCTTCTCACACAGATTTTTGGTGGTTTTTTTTTTTTCCTCTGTAGTTCCTGGACCCGTTCCCTTGGAATCCATCCAGGGAGGACCTTTTGAAGAGAAGATCTATGTTCAGTGGAAGCCTCCAAATGAGACAAATGGCATCATTACACTCTATGAGGTGAGGAGAACAGATTGTTGTCAAGGAATACATGCCACAGGGCCCTTTTCATTTGTGTTTAAGCCAATCCTGAGCTCTGAGATTTCAGCAGGTGCTAAAAGAAGCCTGATTAAAATAGAGAAGCTTCTTCAAGATAGTCTGCTGCTATCACTGAAAGTTTTCCAGTTCAAAAGAGAGAAGATCTGTTGCAAAATGAGAGCCAAACATTCCCCCTTGTCTTGGGTGTTCAATTCCTGCCCTAATTTCATCTGCAGTATCTCCATGGTCAGTTTTCTTTCCTTTTCTCTTGAGGTAAACGTCAGTTAGGTTTTATACCTAAATACTTCAGTTAATTCCTCTCTGCCTTTCCAAAAGTCACACCACTTCCTGGCAAGCTCGGCAGAGTGTAGCCATTAAGGCTTGTCTTTTAGTGTTCTCAGTGGATCTCTCAATGATAGTTTGTCGAGCCCAACCACCCTCCCTGCCTCCAGACAAAACACACAGCAGGCTACAGGATGATCACTGGCCATCCTGTGCTGAGTGGGAAAACTAATGAATGTGATTAGACTGTATCAAAGGAGATGTTTCTTGGTAAGGTAAGGAGGCGTTACTGTTGTCATCTGCTTCTGGTGAGACTATCCATAATGTTGGGTACGCCGGATGTGTGGAGAAAGAATATAAAAGGCTGCTTTAGAGGATCATGTGAAATGATAGTCCTAGAAGAGAAGGTACAGGCACTTTTATTGAATAGCAGAAAGTGGAACACCAGTGCTGGCTGAGTGTGTTTCAGTTTATAGGCTCAGCATCTATCACTAAAAGATGCTTTTATGGTCATGTAGGAATCTTCAGTGTGGGTTTGTGCAGTGTTTTCTGGGACAGAGGGGAAGAACTGCTTTTTTGCTTTCTCTTTTATGATGACTGAATGTACAGACTTACTTTGGAAAAGGTGTGGGTGCAAGAAACCAGTCTGCCATCACCAGTGAGTTCTGCTCCTTTCCTCTTCCCAGCTTCTCACTTTGGACCAACATGTCTTCTAACATGTCACTTCTAGATCTCCTCGCTGACACTGCCTTTTTCTGTCACATTGGTGGTCGAATGGGAAAAATGAAGCAGGTTTCACACCAGTGAGCTCTTACATTACAGCGTGAGCAAGAAATACTGACTTTCTCTTGGGCATAAATGTAACCTGGCTCTTAGTTCATCACTCCAGCTGGCTCACAAAGGGTACATGGGATTTGATATGGCAAGACTTCATAAATGAGTAGAATTTCCTCTTAATAATTTCAGCCAGGCAATAACCATGACTACATAAGGAGTCATATTTTGTTGATACACTTGTAGCAGTCTGTGCAGGTTATATACTACCTGTCTGTACTAGAATAGAACTAACCCTTGCAGTATTTTGAACATGTACTACAGGCTGTCCATGTCTGTGTAAGGAATTATGTACTAAAGCTGTCTGTATTTTTAGGAATTAAGCTGAAGAGAATCAGTTGCAAATTCATTATGTTTCTGGCAACACAGGTGACCTATAATGAAACAGGTTTAAAATAATCCAAGTCAAATGATGCAGAAATAACTCCTTTTAATTTTTAAAGAGGCAGTTTCCTACTAAAATATTGCCTTGGGCTCAGCTCATTGAAAGGACTTCAACGATCTGAGTAGCTTTTCTGGGTGAGCAGCTACATAGAGATACTTCAGTGCCTCCTGGGTAGCAATGCATCATGACAGTGCCTTTGCCCCTCCAGTCATATAACTGCTCAAGTCTCAGTGGAGACAAACAGATTTTTCTTTCCTGATAATGATTCTGTGCATATTCAGCAGCTGAAGCCAAAGAGAAGTCAAGGTGAATTAGAGCTCTTCCTCCTTTTCCTCCTGTCCCTCTGCTCCAAAGGGATGAAAATCCAAGTGTTAAAAACACCAGGAGAACCAGAGTGCCTGAAGGTTGACAGGAATGAAATGTTTGCCTTTCCTCTCTCTTCTTAACGTGTGAAAATACATACAGAACATTCCCTGAAGAGTGAGATCTTGAATCAAGGACTTTCCACTCATGTTCTGTCAGTGAGAAGAGGCAACAGAAACGGGGAGCGAGCAGGGACAGGACACATGCACACACTTGCCAAAGGTGTATTCCGTAGCACAGCACATCATGCCCAGTATAGAAACTGGGGGGAGCTGAATGGAAGGGGTGGATCACTGCTTGGGTCAGGCTGGGCATCGGTCAGTGCATGGTGAGCAGTTGTACTGTGTGTCACTTGTTTATTCTCAGTGTAATTGTCAGGCTCTAAATCTGTATCACAGGCAAATCTGTTCCAAGTAATGGAAGATCCTGGTTTTGAAATTGCTCAGTAAAGTTCAGGTCTTTTCACAGAAACATCTCATCCTGCAATTGAAGTTCAATCTCGCTAAAAATAACGAGATATTTCCACTGTTGTCCAGGTAGCTGCATCTTTTGTGTCTCTTGCTTAATCCCCAGCCTACCACAGATACTTAAACCAGCACCTTTGTCTCTGCTGGGTTTTTTTAAAGATTTCATGCTGTGTGTCTAGGATCAAAGTAATTTCTCAGCAGTAATGACCTCCAAGAGCCTTGTGGCACCTCATACAGGTAACCTCATCCCATTGATCCAGCCTGCCCATATCCCTCTGCAGAGCTTCCTACCCCCAAGCAGATCAGCGCTCCCACCCAACTTGGTGTCATCCACAAATGTACTGAGAGTGCTCTTGATCCCCTCATCCAAATCATCAGTGTAGGTATTAAACAGAACCAGCCCCAGTACTGAGCCCTGGGGAACACCACTAGTGACCAGCCACCAACTGGAATCAGCTCCTTTCAGCATCTCTCTTTGGGCCTGCCTACACAGCCAGCTTTTTACCCACCAAAAAGTACTAATGTCATAGAATCATAGAATGTTTAGGGTTGGAAAGGACCTTAAGATTATCTAGTTCCAATTCCCGTGCCCTGGGCAGGGACAATAATGACTGAGTACTTCTGAAGAGCCTAAGCAAAATGGAAGGAACTTAATAAACCTTTTGGATTTACGTAAATCTCTTTTATCCTTTACAATGATACTGTAAAAATAAAGGTGGCAATAGCCTTGCACTTAAAACTGCTTTAGCCCCCCGTGCGTTCAGCTGGGTACAGACAGAGCTGGATTTTTAAACTAAGGAACCATCTAGAGCCCCAAATGAGTAGGTAATTGCTGTCTGTTTCTGGAAAGCAAAAACGTCTTGTTCACAGGAGCTCAGAAAGCTCCCAGAATTACAAGTCAGTTAATCAGTATGCTGAAAGGATTAGAGTACGAGCTGTATGAAAGCAAGTGATGGTACAGCTCGTTCTGGGGTGCTGGAGGAGCACAGCAGAGCAGTTGAGAGCATGAGTGTATGCTGAGTTATGGGTAGTTGATCTGTCCAGTCAGGAAAGCCATGAGGGAGATGTGTAGCCTGCTCTTGCAAGTAAGCCCTGCAGCGGAGAGGAAGCTTAAGAGCTCTAGTTATAGTAAAGTCCCCAGGTAGCTCCAGGGTGCGTAGGTACTTAGATGAGACAAACAGATCAGTCTGTGTTCAGAATCACGGCTGATCAGTGATAATGGATTTGCTGGTACGTTGGTTTGGGTGGAATGCTCTACAGAGCAGTTTTTGCAGGTGACATTCATGGAAGAGGTGTTACTACAGCTGTCTCTTGTAGCGAGCTGTGAGTGGCAGCATCTAATAATGTTGTAGCAAGTCCTGTTCCCCTTCAGTCCCCTGGCAGACTGAAAGCACCACAACTTGTATTCTTTTTATGCCAGTCCTGAAAAGCTGCTATCCTTTAAAATCCCTAATAATGAAATGCTGCTTGTTGTGCTGATACTGTGTGGGAGTTCAGCTTCAAAGCTTTTGTGTACAGAGACATGTAACAAAGATTTAATTTTTGTTCTTTTTTTCCTCCTATGCATGTAAAGTCAAACCACCATCAAACAGCAGAAAGACCCACGCTGTCATTGGAGAGCAGGAGCAAGGAACCTAATTTAAGGTCTTGGACCAGGGAGGTTGGAATTGGATGAGCTTTAAGGTCCCTTCCAACCCAAATCAATCTATGATTCTATGACCAGCTTTGGCACTTAAATTTTCCTGCTTTTAGTTGACATAAGGTTGTCTAAAGCATGTTTGTTCCATAATCCAAACTGAAGTGCTTCAGATACATATTTTGTGCAAACTTGAGTTGTAGTGATAGGACAAGGAGTGATGGGTTCAAACTGAAACGGGAAATTCAGGTTAGGTATAAGGCAGAAGTTCTTCCCTGTGAGGGTGCTGAGGCACTGGCACAACGTGCCCAGATGAGTGGTAAATGCCCCATCCCTGGCAGTGTTCAAGGGCAGATTGGACAGAGCCTTGGGTGGCATGGTCTAGTGTGAGATGTCCCTGCCCATGGCAGGGGGTTAGAACTGGATGAGCATAAGGTCCCTTTCAAGCCAAACCTGTCTGGGATTCTGTGATTTTGAAAATGTAAGTTAAAATTGCATATTTATAGCTGCATTTAACTGCCCATTTGGGCAGTTGGAGACTCATAAGTGCACTCCATTGGTAGTGGCTTTCACCTTTGACAGTACATTTTTTGTGTGTGACCTAATTCTCAGAATTGCCAGGTTTTACAATAGTTTGCCCTTAAAGGGAAAGAAAGGAAAAAAGGGAAAAACCCACCCAGTATCCTGTCATTTGTCACACTGCCGAGGGCAGGCATTGTTATAAGGTATTCCAGTCCTAGAGGCATTTAAAGGGTGGCTACAATATCTTCAGCTCCTTGGCTGGAGAAACACTCTGAGGCTGTTGAAGTTCTTTTGGTGAGCCGTGCCTGAAGGCGATGTTTAAGCAGCAAACTGTCTTTTTAATCAGTGTAAGGTGCAGTCTAGTAATCACGTTCTCATCTTTATGAAGTCCCATGTGGGTTGCACATTGGTCTTGGGGACAAATGATGATGCAGCTTCCAACTAGCTAGTTTTCTTAGCCACTGTTCCTGAAATGCTTTTAAATCTCTATTTA